TAAATCAAGCGACTTGCACCTTTCGAGTCCAAGGGATTAACACGTCGACGTCAATGCCTTCTATAACCGTCCAATGCTCGTGAACAGCTACAAACGACTGTAATCACCCTATATTCTTAGTGTTACAAGTAAAAAACATATAATAATTTCACTTCGAAGGCATAAAATCTTCATCGAACTCCCAGAGAATCTAACTAACAAAACAAGAATTGCTTTCTTGCCCATCACCAACTTCAAAGTGAGCGTCGACGCATTAAGTCGACAATCATTTAACCAGTTAACTGTGTCTGACGAGTATACACGTCATCGTAAAGCTTGATGCTAATTCTTTCAGCGATGAATTCTCTAGTTTTTCACATAAACATGTAATTCTTCTTCGTTTTCTTTGATTTTTCATTGAAATATACTCTGCGTGCATTTATCCTGCGTTCGACGAGTACACGCTCCATTTTTTAATTTTATTGCGCGCGGAACTAGAGGTTTTTCTAACTAAATTCCACAGTTAACTGGTTGAAGACTTTTTGTTATTACAACATGTAAAGGAAGGAATACTGTAAAAAAATCAACACCAGCTATTCTTTATAGATTTTCGTTTGGAAATAAATGCTAGATAATACTAATCAACTTTCAAACGCGCCAATTTAATTATTCTTTGAATACACATTGAAGACGAAATAGTACAGTTTCTTCTATAGTATTCTGTAAATGTCATTTATTATACAGAAATCCCCTTAAATTCATCTTATCGGAGAAACATTCCAAAAACGATCAGGATCTTTCGAACGCCACTTAGGTATCTCAATTTTTCAACACGTTGAAAGTCACGCGATTTCGTATAGCAAAATATACAAAATGGAAGAAGTATGATACTAAATCATTATTGTTATCGCATCATCCAGCTGAACGTCACCGCATCAGGTAACATTATGTATAATATAGAAACATTTTCAAATAATCGCCGTTTTATTGAATAAACTACAGTAATTGAAGAATCTTTTCAATTGTACATCTTATAGCATCTGCTTCATTTTATAAGATTTCATATTTTCATACCTCATACAAATTTCTTCAATTTTCAGTTGATAACATTTCTTTAACGATACAACACTAATTTATCTTCCTCGCTCGCTGAACATTCCAAAGGATCCCGGGTAAGTTTATCGGCGAACGAATTTTCGCGCTGCCCGCGAATGCCATCGGGGCGGATCGAATTCCGTCCGAAATTAAATTGTTTGTCCTATTAGCGGCGATCGAATCGATTCGCTCAAAGCGGCTTCGATCCGGGTCCCGACCATGTGGAACGTTCTGCCCGGAATATTCACGGACCCCGACCTCTTTCCGTTCCATTCCGGAACGCGCGGAGACGGAGCGTTTATAGCGGCTCTCGTGGAACGGATTAACCGGCTCGCCGTTCCAGTGATACGCGGATATCCTAAGTTCAACGTTTATTGAGAAAACTAATACTTCGCGAACCGATAACTTCGTTAATCGAGCACTTTCGCGATAGAAGCACCAGCGCATTCGAAGCGAAACTTCGCATCGCGGAACTTGACGCGTGAAACTAAAATTCTTTAGTGTTCATTAAAATATGAATACTTCTTTTTAATTAATCTCTTACTCTACGGTTTCATTCGCAATTAAAGTCGAGGACAATGCTTAACGATTCACTAGAAAATAAGAAGAATCTTCTATTGATTCTACGTCTACGTTTACTTGGAAGTATAACAATCGATAATAGAATAATGTAGAAATTGAATTGCAAAGAATTGAATTTTCTTTGAAATTACCATTATGATACTGGTAGGATAGAGCGAGATAAAGGGTTGAAAGTGTTGGGAAGCGTTTTAAAGTGGTTAATTAGTGTGAAACGTAAGACGATCGTGTGGTCGACGCGTTCACCGGCAAATTGGACGATAGGCAGCGAAAGCGGCGCGGGTCCATTAGCAGGTTCGCCTCGAAAACGCGTTGCCGCGTGCTGCTCGATGAGCCGGGAAACAAAGGGACGCTCATTATATCCATTACGGTTATTCTTGCCGGGTCTGGGGCCGAATTCGCGCCCGGATCGAATCCCAACGCTCCGAACTTAACGAATGGGAGGCGAGGACCACGCAAATGGCACGTCTGAACGGTGAAAATGGGTCGACGTGGAATAACTTGGATCCGCGGTTGCATGTTTAGACTCGAAAAGTGGAAAACGCTGTCTGATCTTCGCGCGTGACGCGAGAGAGCTTCGGAAATTTCGCGAATATTGAAATGGAAATTTGTACCAGGAATATCAGTTAAGCCTGGAAAAACTTCTCCGGGGTTCTGATTTTGCTGACGCAAGATAATCAATATTCGATACTCGTTTCTCTAATAAAGGATACTGAACAATTAATTCTATTTATTATAAGATAATCAATAACCAATTCCAATTTCTCTGATCCGCTGAAATTCAATCAACTGATGAATACATGTATCAGATCCGACAAAAATCAGATTACACGTTGATCGAATTCTAATAGAATATCAATGAATTAACACAACATTATGTAGTATTAGTGGTATTTAAATTTTACAGCCTGTCCTTCACTCACACTCATTCTAGATAATACAATAAAAAATTCTAGATAATACAATATTAATATAGTCACCGACACTCATTCTTACATTCACTCAGATTGCAAAAATGTGAATAGTCGATCGAGAATGAACCCTTTGCACTCGAGAGGTGACTCTCACCACCTGATTTCACACTGTAAAACAATAAAATTTGATATTTAATACTATACCTTATATAACGCATCAATTTGAGAAATATTGAAATAAAATAGCTTTGTTCTTCAACGTACGTTACGATATCTTTGCGAGTTAGTTTCACAAAATATCGTTTCTATCTCATCAGAAAGTGTTAAAATATTTCTAGTGATAAACTTCCGAGGGTTAAAGCTACGATACTACAATTACGTACGTTTATAGTCAGAACTGTGTCAAAACGGTATACGACAGTAACTTCGTCGTTATCTAGATTACGAAGAATTCCCAGAGGAGCTCTCGTAACACACGGTGTTTTCGGCTTCAGGTTTTTGTCCAACAAATTCGAGGAAAGTTATACACCGACGATCGAGGACTTCCACCGGAAGCTCTACAGGATTAGAGGGGAGGTCCATCAGCTTGATCTTTTGGACACGAGCGGCAACCATCCGTTCCCCGCGATGCGACGATTATCCTTCCTAACCGGTAAGTCTATCAGCTTGAATGTCGAGAAACGGCGGCGCGG